AGCCTCCTGTCTCTTTGGCTTTCCCAAGGACATTCTGGGAATAGAAGGGTTCTGCTTCCTCCTTCCCCAGTCTAAAATTTTATTTATTTTGTTGGGCCATAGAAATGGAGTTCTCCCAGTTTGACAGATATAGGGTTGGCGACCACCAGAAGCACTGCAAAGATCCCAGAAGCCTTCCTAATTGTTCCAGATGGATTTTCTGCCTCTGGGAGAAGTTGCTGGCTGAAGATTCTCTAAGAAACAAACAGCTTTAAAATGTGTTTTCCACCAATACACAAGTATTAGAGACTTACAGGGAGGGCCAGCTGATCTATGCCTTTCTTCATTGGTAGATCCTCAACTGAGCCCTTTCTTTTAAGTATCACGAGGTCAGAGAAATGGAGTGGTACAATAAAGTTTCTCAACAAAACCCAAGGTCCATCCTTTAGAAAAGAGAAATGGGGGGAGAAACTCAGTCACAAAGGAAGGTTTTTATTCTGAATCTTTCTTTCTAAAATCCAAACTCCATCTTCCCTAGTCTTCTCACAAGGTGTGGAAATCAGTCTTCTGACACTACTCTCCCCAGTTGAAGGTGTTGGAAAAAGGGACATGACCCAGTTAACATTTCATTGAGAGCCTGTAGGAATAAAGGATCCTCAGAGAGGACTAAGTTTATTTCTCTTTTAATAGTTATCCCTTAATTTAGTCCTACTTCTAGGAAAAGAAAATTATAGGCATCCAAAGTATAGACCAATTTTAATAATCTCAATAAAGGATACCGATTCATTTGCTTTCTCTGAATATCACATACTTCCTAAGAATGATCTAAGAAAAAATACAGACTGCAGTTCACACAAACCACATGTTGAATTGACCTTTCATCCCAGGGATAAATCTAACTTTTTGATGATGATTAATCCTTTTCAGGTATGGTTGAATTCAGGTTTGCTAATATTTTGCTGAGGATTTTTGCACTTAGTTTCAGCAGGGATACTGATCTGTAATTTTCTTATCTTGTAGTGTTCTTGTCTGACTTTAGTATCATGATAATGCTGACCTCATAAAAATGGGTTTAGAATAGTCTTTTCATTTTTTTGTAAGAGTTTGAGAAGGATTGATATTAGTTCTAATTTAAATGTTAGGTGAAATTCAACAGCAAATATATTAGGTTCTGGGCTTTTCTTTGATGGGAGACTTTTTTTTATTACCGATTCAACTTTATTACTCATCATTGTTCTGTTCAGAGTTTTAATTTTTTCTTGTTTCAATATTGGTAGCTTGTATGTTTCTAGAAGCTTATTGATATCCAACTTTTGGTATATAATTGCTCTCTAATTGCTCATTGTAGTATTTCATGATCTTTTGTATTTCTGTGATATCAGTTGCTATGTCTTCTTCAATTTCTGATTTTATTTATTTGAGACTCTTCTTTTAATGTCTCCTTATTAATTTACTGACTGAACGACGTATCCATTGTTGAAAGTAGAGTATTGAACCCCCCTGGCATTTTTGCTGCCTTCAGGTCTGTTAATGTTGTTTTATATATTTTATAAATAAGTGTCCAGCTAAACAAATATCTAATGTTGAGTGCATAAATATCTATAATTGTTATAGCCTCTCATTGAATTAACCCCTTTGTCATTATGTAATGAACTTCTTAGTCTTTTTTATTTGATTTTTTGACTTAAAGTCTACTTCATCTAGTACAAGTATAGCTACATTTGCTGTCTTTGGGATTCCATTTGCCAGAATACCTTTTTCCACCCTTTAGTTTCAGTTTGTGTGTCCTTAAAGCTGAGTCTCCTGTGGATAGTATATAGCTGGGTTTTGTTTTTTACCGACTCAGCCACTCTTTGTTTTTTGGTTTTTTTTTGTAGTTACAGCTAGACATTTGTTTATTTTTTAAATGTGGTGCTGAGGATTGAACCCAGTGCCTCACTCATGCTAGGCAAGCGCTCTACCACTGAGTTACAGCCCCAGTCCACTCTTTGTATTTTGATTGGAGAATTTAATCCGTTTATATTCAAAGACTTTATTAATAGATAAAGATTTACAACTCCCATTTTGTTGTTTTCTTTTCTTTGTTTTTTTTTTCCTTTTTGGTAGTTGTAGATGGATAGCATGACTTTATTTTATTTGTGTATTTTTTTATGTGGTGCTGAGGATTGAACCAAGTGCTCCCACACCCACCGCAAGCGCTCTGCCACTGAGCTACAGCCCCAGCCCCTGTTTTCTTGTTTTGTAGATTCTCTGTTCTTTCTTCCTGTTTTGTTCTCTTCTTTTGTGATTTAATGAATTTCTGTAGTGTATTATACCTTTTTCTTTATCTTTTGTAAATCCACTACATGTATTTGCTTTACGGTTACCATGAAACTGACTCAAAACATTATATAGCTGTGTGGGCTATTGTAAGTGAATAATCACATAATTTCAATTGCATATGAAAGCTACACTTTCATTTCTCCTCTCCACACTTTGTTTTTGATGTCATAATTTACATATTTTAATATTAACTATTACCCTTTAAATTTTTATAGTTACACTTACTTTAATAGTTCATCTTTTAAACTTTATAATATAAATGTAAGTGATTTGCATACTACCATTAGACTTACGTTCTCAGGGGCTGTGGTTGTAGCTCAGTGGTAGAGCACTTGCCTAACATGTGTGAAGCACTGAGTTTGACCCTCAGCAACAGGTAAAAATAAATGTTTCATATTGGAAAAAAAAATACTTTCACCAGTGAGTTTTATATTTCTATGTTACTAATTAACATTCTTTCATGTTGGATGAACTTCCTTTAGTATTTTTTATAAGGCAGGTCTTCCAGTGATGATTTCCACAACTTATGCTTGCCTTAGAAAGTCTTTATCTTCCCTGTATTTCTGAAGGACTGCTTTGCTGGCTAAAAATATTCTTGATTGGCACTTTTTCTTTTCTTCCAGCCCTTTGCCTGTATCATTCCATTCATTCCTGCCCTACAAAATTTCTGCTGAGAAATCCACTGATAGCCTATGGAGGCTCTTTTGTATGTAAGATTTTTTTTTCTGTTGATGTCCTCAAGATTCTCTATTTATCTTTGATTTTTGACAGTTTGAAATATATAATGTGATGTAGTCTTCTTTGTATTGAATCTGATTAGAGACTTTCCTATACCTACATATTTATGCCTTTCCCCAGATTTGGAAAATTTTCAGCTATGATTTCTTAAAGTAAGCTTCTGTCCTTTTCTGTCTCTCTTCCCTTTGTGAACTCCCACATCATGAGAGCTATCACTCTTGATGCTGTTCTATGAACCCTCTTTAATCATTTTTATTCTTTTTTTTTCCTCTTTTCTCCTCAGTCTGTATCTTTTCAATTATTCTGTCTCGAGTTTACAAATTCTTTCTTCTGCCTGGTCAATTCTGCTGGTAGTGTTTTCTACTGCATTTTTTTTTCCATTGTATTCCTCAACTCTAGAATTTTCGTTTGGTTCTTTTTATTATTACAACCCATTAAATTTCCCATTTTGTTCATTTATTGTTGCTCTGATTTTGTTAAGTATTTTCTGAAAGCTCACTGAGCTTCTGTCAAACAATTATTTTTTAATTCTTTGTCAGGCCATTGACAGATCTCCACTTGGAGAATTAAAGTTACTGGAACATTACTGTGTTCCTTTGGTGACATTATGTTCCATTCATTTCTCCTGTTCCTTTTTGCCCTGTGTTGATGTATGCATACTAACAGTAATAATAAACAACCTAGGTACTTAAAGATCCAGGTCTCTCGGTTCTATCCCCCAAAATTGGGTCAAGCCGGGAGAGGGCCCAGGATTTACTGTTGATGGTGCTGGTCTGAGAACTGCTCTTGAGGAAGCACCATGCAAACCCCTTAAGACTTAGCTGCTTCCAAAGTAAAATGTAAGGTCGTGTAAGAATTTGAAATCAAAGCTTTAAAGACACTGACATTCTCCCACTGCCTCTCAGACATGCATGTGTTCAGCTAAAATGCACATTTGACAAAAATCAGCTTGTTGACTATCCACATATGACTGATTATCACAATGAGCCTCTTCGATGGTTTGGGCATAGGAGCTTCCGGTTATTCCTTCAATTCAGAAGACTATCCAGCTAATGTGTTTCCAAGGCAATGAAAGGAATATTTCATTCCAAGGAGCATTTAAAACAGTAAAATTTAATAACCCCCCATGTGCTTTCTAACGTAAATTCCTCATTATTTTTAGTGGACTTGCTATTTAATAGTATATGCACTTATTTATTCAATGAATATTTATTGAACATCTACCAACTATGTCTTTAGTTAACATCTGCTGCACCATAAGTGTCTTTTAAAAGTTCACCAAAAAACTTAGCAAATTGTTGGAAAACGATGTTGGAAGTTGTGGGATCTTGTGGGGAGTTAATGCCTTACACAGCAGTAATTATGATTACAATAAAACATACAGAATGTTTTTACAATGCTTTAAAATTTTAATGTTTGTAATGATCTTAATGGGCTCCCAAATTAAAGAAATTTTACATGGGCACAATAACAAAGCAGTAATTGGAGTCATACTTAATGAAAATAGAAACTAAATTTTGTAGAATAAGATTTATATTAAACCAACTAATTCGATTCTAATGACAGTCTTCTCTCACGTGTAGCCATATATACTCCCTTAGGACTTCTCTATGACAAATAAAAGCACATATGAAGCTTGAATAAAGCCCTTCCCAAATATTAATTCACCTTGATGAAATGTGACAGAATATTATTTTAACTTAATCGGGAGTCTGAGATCATGATCTCTAAATCAAAGAGGACTCCAAAAGATCCACCATTATATTTTTGGATTTGAATTAATATACTGTCACTTCAGATTATTTTGATTTACTTGTTGATCTTCCGTTTTTTTCTAAAAATTGTTAAGGCTAACATGTCACATAAAGTTTTTTTTTTTTTTTCAGTTTTATGGATGAAAAAAGTAGCCAGATTTCTATGGACAGCTTTTCAGTTGAGAGACCCAAGTTCTGTCTGTAGATTCACTTTATTTTCTGGAGGGCATTGCAAAGGATTCCAACTTCACCTAAAAAGAAGAAAACCATTGGTAAGGGCCACACATATAATTTAAAAATACCCTTGGAGAATCCACAATGTGTGGAACCCTAGGGAATCAGTGGACTTCCTGAAGAAGCTGGGTGTCATTCAAATTTTATGGCACCTACAACTTAGTTATGGAGATAGGAGTTGGGCAGTTGTGCTATGGGTAGTCCCATGTTTTAGGATGTGCTAGAGCTATTAATATAATTATCTTCCTCTTTCCAGAGGCTGTTCACCAGGGAAGGACTTAACAGGCTTCTGCCCAGGCACACACTAGCTGTTCTGTTACTTTTTACATGACTATCCAAAGGTGTCTCAAGGAACTAAGTCACTAAACCCAAAAGAGTGGTTCATACAAATCTCACATGTCAGAATCGCCTGAGGTCTTATTGCCAATACAAACACCCAAAACTTAGCACAAATTTAGTAAATTTAGTTTGGAACTTTTTGATTTTTAGCCATCTTCCTAAATGATTCTGGTGCACATTAATGTTTGGGAATGTGTGCTCTAAGCAGATCACAGAGCTTAGATTGTCAGATCCCTAGACTAAGGTGTCATGTGATTCCATTCATGCCAAGTTTTCACAAGCCAAAGAACACAGGTCAGATACTCATTATAAAAGTGGAAGAAGTCTTGGGTGTCAATAAACCTCCTTCCCTCCTAGATCCAGAAGAAGCAAAAGTGGAAAGATGATGAGGTCTTCTATAAAGTCATATAGTTCTAAGAACCCTCAGTTCCTAAACTGGTTAGTTTGTACTCTTGAAAACCCCCTGATAAATGATAATCTATGGAATTATTTTTGTCTTTTCAGAAACAATTTGAAAAAATAGCTATGGAAATGGTAAAAGCAGCTATAGCCTCACACCTCTGTCTTACATCCCAGCCTCTGGAGTGCCTGGCGCTTCTTCACTGAACACATTGACACCAAATGAGTGTTTCAAGTGATTTTTTTGAAATGAGAAATCACGGACAGCCATACCTACTGTGGAACGTTGTCAGTGATGAGGGCAAGTTCTGTGTATTGGAGGTTACCACAGGCAATGTGAAAGGGGCATTACAGACACTTCAAGCCAAACTACCCCTTTGGACTGCACTGGCATTATGCAAGGCAGGAATTCCTGCCTGGACCAGAATCCAGAATACCTCCCTACGGGCTCCCCTCTTTGGTAGTTCCATCTATTCATTCAATAGCTCTTGAGTACCTAATATAATTCTTAGAAATAGAGCTATGAATAAACCTGCTGTGGCTTTCTGCCCAAGTCTAGATGGAGAGACAGCCAAGTGAACAATTATAAAACAACAGTGAGAAATCCTCTATGAGAGGAATCTCCAGGCACTGGAAGACAAAGGAAGGGTCTCCAACCACTCTTCCTACAAGAAGAGGTATCTACACAGGACTTAAAGGTAAACAGGTTGTGGACATCTCTAAAAGGGCCTGGGAAGAACAGTATTTTAAACAGAAAGAATTACATGGGCAAAAGGCCAGGAACAACCAGAGAGCACAGGAACTAGAAACTGATCAAAATTACTAGAAAACAATTCGAAGGGTTGCGGGGCTGGGGGGGGGGGGGGAATCAGGTATGAAAAAGGTAACTTTGTGATTTTTTTTTTAAGAATAGCTATTATAATTCTATAACCGAGGAAGAGTAGAAGGCAATAGATGAGCTACTGGGGAGCTGAGAATGGAGACAGAACTAACTCTTTAGGAGATGAGATTCCAGGCAGAGTGATATCACCTGGACACTTGGAGGAATGGGATGAGAGGCACCTGAGAGTGGCAGACCAGGTGTAGAAAAGTGGTGCAGAGAAAGGAGATGGAAGGGAGTCTCAGAGGGTGAAAGGAAAAGGAACCGTCAAGGCAACCTCTCCTTTTTGCCAAATTCTTCTCTCCCGATGATCCTGTGGCTTACGTGGGGATGTCTCCAAATCCAACACGTAATAAATCTCCTATTGTTCCTGTAGTGAGGTAAGAAAACACAACCCTGTGTTTCTGGGAAAGAGGGGTAACTACTTACTGTTGATGGAGTCCGCCAAAATCTTAATCTGCTGGGTGTTGTCCAAGACCTCGATCCTCTGGGTGTAGGGGTCGTAACGAACTGAGAAGGGTCGAGGGATTGTGGCAGCAAAGTTCCTGAAACCAAAACTGCAGGTCAGCTTTTGGAGAAAAGTCTCTTTTTTCCTGTGGCATTTCCCTTCGTTGTTAACACTGAAGCCTCACTAGAACAGGGGCTTCCAAAGCCAGGGCTGAGAACAACATAGAACTTTAGGGAGATCCTCTTGGGAAGCCTTCATGATGCTGCAGGAAGGTGAGGCTCCCGGAGTGAGGAGGATGGAGGAGAGAACTAGAAATGCCAAGCAGGAAGGACTGAGGGTCCTTGAGAGAGAGGTGGAGGTGGGAGTCATTTTAGGGCAGAGCAAATGGACTTGTGGGCCAGAATTTTACCTTTAATTACTCCATCTAAATGCACCAAAGGCTGACATACTTAGCCTCAGAATTCCAAAGGCCTACATGTCCTGGGTCCATCACCTGATGGTTCTAAGCTATTTCCTAAAAGTGGTGACAGTGACTATCAGGACATCCATGTTGGGTAGACCCTCTGCTCAGCCTGTCTCCTGCTTGGATGAGAACCTGGTTTGAGGGTTGCAGGGCTTGTAGGCAAAGCTCTCAGCTCAGAGGCCCGAGAGTCCCAGAGTCCTGAAACCACTCTGAGGCCTCTTGCTGAACTGCCTCTGGGACTGACCCCTTTCACTAGTTATCGATTCAATGCCTTTTTTATGTCCGGTACTATTCTAGGGACTCGAGAAAGAGCAGGAAACAGAAACACAAACATTCCTACCTTTATGGAGCTTAAATTATAATATGTTAGAAGTTAAGAAGGCTAGGAAGAAAAATAAATCACAGAAGTGCTGAGGGAATGGTTGGATGGAGATTTTAAAGTACAGTCAGGTACTGCATAGGCACATTTTGGCCGATTATAGACCATATATATATAACGGAGGTCTCAGAAGCTTATCCAGGAACTGGAATATTATTCTTGCCAAGTGACACCATAGCCATTGTAATTTCATAGTGCCTTATGTGTTTATGTTGACACTGATGTCAAAAAACCCACTACTCTTCCAGTCATACAAAAGTATAGCAATACAATTGTGTATGGTACAAAATACTTGGCAACAATTATGTTACTATGCTACTCTTCTATGGATTTACTATACTGTACTTTTTAATCATTATTTTGGTGTTCTTCTACTTGTAAAACAAATAATATTCCGTGTCATGCCAAGCAGCAGCCTCATACATCTCGGCTTTATTATGCCTCATAGCAAGAATGTTTGCATCATTTTCTCTGGTGCTTGATTAATCTTGTGTTATTTTGTTCATCAAGGCCTTAGGAGCCATGGGCTGTGCCTTGTATGTGCCATGCAGCTGCAGTGTGCAGTAGGCTTCACCATCTAGGTTATTATGTATGTACGTGCTATGACATCAATGACACAATGACAATCACCTAGTGATGAATTTCTCAGATACGTGGTTGGTTGATGCATGATTGACCATAAGAGATGAAGACAAAGAGATTAAATTTGGGGAAAGATATAAAGGAGGTAAAGAAGCAAGTTATGCAGGTATTAGAAGAGCAAAATGAAGAAGGTATTTCCTGTGGTTGGAAGACTTCCCTGACTGATTTGGTGGGGTGGGTGGGGGAGACTTTTTGGCCACTCTGCACACACAGGGTCCCGTGACTGGACTTGGTGTCTACACTGAACAGAGACCTGATGTCAGAACAGTCTGAGGGAGTCAGATGTCCAACAGAGAGTGGAAAGGGATGAGGGTGGGGAAGTTCTGCAGGCTGACTGCCCACAGATCAGCATCACCAGCCCGGGTCAGGGACTCCCAGAGCTAAGGACCCACCTGGTCACCACCTCACCTCACTTTCTCCTTGGCATCACTGAAACTCTCAGCCACGTAATACAGGGGCTGGAACTCTGTGACCTTGTATGTCTGAGTCGCTGTCGTCTCCAACTCCAGGGGGAGGAGTTTCGGCTTGTCAGATAAGCAGTACTGCAGGCATCAAGTGAAGGGCTTTCCGTTAAATCAAGATCAGGGATCCTGTTCTCCCCATAGGCTACTTGCACATCTTATTTTACCTTGATTCCTTCTACACTCCACCCAAACACAGTCAACCACATTATTTTGCATATACTAGATTCATCTAAAATCCTTCTTAGCTCATCTAAAACCCACAACCAAGATAGGAAGTGGTAACTCATTCCAAGTACTTTCAAGCAAAGAGATCAACAGGCACTGTGGGAGCCAACCACATCTTCTGGCATGTGTTTGCATCCATGGAAAGTTGCATACACAGGTCAATCTTAGGATCAGGAGTTTCCTCCTCCCTAGGGCCCTGTGCACTTGCAGTTGAACTTCTACCTCTGACACCCACAGTCATAATCAAATCATAACTGCTAAGGTACCAATCATTGGATGATGAGCCTCCCATTGCATCTCAAAATGGATACACGGGGCCTTAACAATACCAAGAAAATGAGAATGGTCTCCTCTACTCACCATTTTTAAATCCATTTCTGGTTCCTGTTAGGGTCATACCTGTAATTCACCAAAGGATGACAGGAGCCCAGCACCATATGCCTTTATGGAATCCCCTTGCTTGCAGAGCCCAAACTCCACGGTGAACCAGTAAATCTGGAATGGAAAGCCATGCTGAGAGCATACCCCAAGTAAGGAGAAGGTACCAGATACCCTAGGATTAAGGAAGGAACTGCCCAGGTAGGAGCCTGTGTGAGTCTGTTCTCTGAGTCAGTGCTGCTCGACCTCACTTCTCTGTATCCTGTGCCTCACCCTACCTACTCACCTGTTGAATCAAGAGTTGGCTGAGTCCAAGGTATGATGGGAAATACACCTTGATGGGCACTAAGGAAGTCTCCTAAAGATAGCACCAATAAATTCCTCTAACATGGGAACCTCTCTTTTCTTTTCTTTTTGATTTTTTTCACTGTGCCATAAACTATGATGATATGTCCCTAAAATGTTCTGAAATTGGTAGGGTTTGTCAGGTAATTCCATCAGGTCTAGCAGTGGGTGGTAGGGGACTGGGTGGTGGTGGAATCAATGAGGGGCGCATCCCATTGTCCATGCTAAAACTTGGAGTGTTGCTAAAGTCAACCACTGTACTTATCTCCCCAAATAACCAAGTCCTTTCCCCTCAACAGTTCCTAGTCCAACACGTCCTAGATGCCTGGCCTGGGGAAAAGTGTCTTGGGGTTCTTGGCTTAGAAACTGGGGAAGGATGTGTTGAAATTGTGGAGTATAAAGGAAGGAAATCACCTACTACGCAGATTTGCTGCTTCTATAGCTTCAGTGAATGAGTGTCATTATAGTCACATGGGAGAGAGAATGAAGAGCCCACCCCGTTCCTACCTTGTGTCTGAGAAAAGAACCTAATGTTGGCTCCACTATAAAGGTGGAGATGTGAACATTCCCTCTTCAAAGTTGTGAATCCAGACTACTTCACAGCACACTTTAGACCCAAGGCATTTTGATTAGCATAGCCAGTTGTTATTTTTAAGAACACTCTGTTTAAAATTCTGTGTAAACATCTACATGCAGCTGCCGCCAAAATAATCCAAGAAGGAGAAATCAAAATGTGAGGCTTCCCCTGGGCAAATGGAACCCACTGCATTCTGATTCCACCCCCCACCCAAATAGCCTGCCTTCCAGGAAAGAGCAAGTTTTTAGGCTCTGAAGCCACATCACAGCACTCCCACCATCCACCTAGGGGGAGGAAAGACTCACGGTGGCGAGTTTCTCGATGTACTCATCAGGAGCACCCAAAGAGGCCAGGCCAATTTCCTGCATGATGGAGAAGCAGAGTCACCAACTCAGCCCATCCCAACCCTACCCTCGGTACCAGGCTGAGGCTTGACCACAGAAAGGTCACGAGTGGCCAGCTGTCTTCAGAAGGGCCCAGATGGATCCTGTGTGTTCTGTCAAGTCTTCCCTGCCCACACCTCATAGAAGCAAAGATCTCTAGAGCCCGGGGAACCTTTCAACATCATTTGGTTCTTTTGTGCTCACTTTACAAATGAGGTACAGAGAAGGGAGGTGACTGTTCATGGTCACACAGGGCGTTGGTATCTAAGACTCTTGTTTCCAGTCCAGTGATTTTTCTCCCATAGCAAACATGGACATTCCTGGAGTATCAGATGAGGCTTAATCATGTACCTCGGGACACCACAGGAGAACTCAGATGAGTGTGTGAAACGCTTCCAGGTCTAACACCCAGCTGGAGAGTTTGAAATGTCATGGATCATTTCTCATCACAACTTCAATTGCAGAATTCCTCTCATGGTCTCTTGGTTTGTCAGTGTGTGTGTATGTGTGTGTGTGTGTGTGTGTTTCCAACTTTATGCATTCCTTCCAAAAATATTTATTGAATGCCTTCTGTGTGCCTGACTATGTACAAAATTGACACAGATTCTTGACTTTGTGGTTTGTATATCTATGCATATACATAGATATGTGGTACCCTGAATAAGTTCTTTGGAAAGAAGAGACAGAAGAAAAAAGGGACCAGGAAGATTACAAGTTTCAGGGAGTCTGGGAGAGGTGCAACCTTAAATGGGGTTTCAGAGGAAGCATCATTGAGAAGGCAATATTTGGGCAAAAATTTGAACAAGATCATTGGTTCTACTGATCTCTGAGGAAACTACATTGTTGGCCAAGCACACAGACAATATAAAAATTCCTTAAAGTGGGGAAATACAAGTTGGTTCAAGCAATAGAGAGGGAACCAGCGTGGCTGAGAAGGGATTCAGAGTCAGATTATGTCAGACCATTTTAGGGCTTGGGCTTTTCTTTTCAGAAATGGGAAGCCATTCCAGGGTTTTGACCAGAGAAGTGGACAGGATCTGACTTATGTTATCAAAGACTCACTCTGGCCACTGAACAGGAATGGGCTGTAGGGATCACAGATAGAGGCCGGATGCCAGGAAGGAGGCTATGATGTCAACAGGGTAAAAGATGACAGTGGGTGACTGACGCAGGGTGTAGCAGTGGACGTGGTAAGACATGGTCAGGCACTATGCCTATCCGAAAAGTAGAATGCACAGAGGAGACTGAAAGATTAGTCGTGTGGTAAATGAAAAAGGAGGTGATAACATTCTCCTGTGCTTTTGGTTTAAGCAACTGGAAGAATAGAGTAGCTGAGGATTGATATGAGGATGTTTGTAGGTGGAAGTTTGGACAAGATTTGAAATTTAGTTCTGGACCAGATGATGGAAATATCTAATTAATACCCAAGTGGAGCTTTTGAGTAAGCAGGTGGATATATAAGCCTGAGTTTGAGGACTGCAGTCTGAGCTGAGGACATAAATTTGTTCATCATCAAAGTCAAGAAAGTATTCAAAACCATGGGATTTGGTGAGATCACCAAAGGAATGAGTGTAGGCAGATAGAACTAATAATTGAGACAACTTTGAAGCAAGAGGATACATGGTTTGCATTTCTTTTTTTTATTATTATTTATTTTTTAGTTTTCGGCGGACACAACATCTTTGTTTGTATGTGGTGCTGGGGATCGAACCCGGGCCGCTCATGGCAGGCGAGTGCGCTACCGTTTGAGCCACATCCCCAGCCCCTGGTTTGCATTTCTATATCCCTCCTGCACCAAGCCCATAGCCTCAACCCCACTATGCTTAGAAAATGCTATCAAATGTAGAGTAAATCAGATTCAGATATTGTCCTTAACCTGGCTCTCCCTCCATTGTCTCCATTCCAACCACCTTTCCAAAAAAGCCATAATCCCAAATCCAACAAAATCCATTGATAAATCCAAGATCAAAATGGTGCCCAATTTTTTTCACTACCATTCTCCCTGAGCTCAGAGCTGGCCCCCATTATTTCCCTGTGCTCCATCCCAACCCCAAACTTCCCTATAGTGAAAAGCAAGTTCTACCTTTAGGTCAAAAAGGAATGTTCTCATAGAACTTTTAAAATGTCTCCTTGCCTGTGGATTTTCCAGATCAAAGGTGGAACCATGTGACACTGATGGCCCCACAGCTCTCATCTGTTGTACATAACTGTCCACGCCTCTGTGGGGTCCCCAAAATGGAAATGGCTTAAGGGGGATTGACACTTACTTAGCCTCTCACTTGGCAGAAGAATTTCTGGAGGTACAAATAGAAGTATCTATTCTCCAAAGAGAAAAGTGATAGTTCTCTAATATAGTAACTAGTCCCTATTCGAAGCTGTCCTGAGTAATCAATACTATCTGGACAGCTGTAACTACACTGTCAGTGAAAGTGCTCCCAGAATTAAAGTTAACTAAGCTGTACACCCTCCCACTTTTAAAAGTCCAACAATCTCCAAATTCCATTAGCTCCCCCAAACCTCACACAGAAGTAACAAAAGCTTTGTCTGTTTAGAGAGTCTGTGTCTTACAAGAACAGTTCTCCCAGACTTAGTAAGCAATGAGTTTGGCTTTCTGTTTTGTCCATTTGTTTCAAACATGAAGTGGTATCCTCTTAATTCATCAGTGGAAATATTTATTTCTTCCAGCTGACACAAAAAATGATTATAATATTCACACTCAATCCCACTATTCTGAAATTCAGACTTGGCCTGGCATTTCCTCATGGGTTATTCTATTTGATCCTCATTCTTCATTGTGAGGAAGAGAACTGTCAGGGAAGGCTTCTTACTGATCAGATCTGTGCAAACAAAGACAGGGTACCCTGGCGATCACAGAGCTGAGCATTGGTAGGGTTGGATCCTCTGAGTGCATCAGAGCCATCATGCCACTCAACCATGATCCCAGCTACCCCAAGCCTGGTTTTAGGCTGCCTTTCAGTACCTGGAGAGAATTAGTAGAATATTTTCATTCACCCCAAAAGATTTTTCTTTTGAGTTTGCTCATCACTGTAAAAGATGAATCAAGGTCTAGATTGCTGCTTTGATGATGGTGAGGAGACACTGGGCTCTTTAATTATTTACATATTTATTTATTTTTTTCAACTGTAAGTCAGGTCCTTGGCATTTGATTCTCAATAAATATCATCTTATTTAATTCAAATACATACACCAATGCCTGGTGTATGTACTTGTATGAAAGTCCGTAAAGAAAATGAGAGTGGAAAAGTACTAGGGGAACTTGGAAGAAGGCAAGGTGATGTCTGCATGGGAATCAAGGAGACATTCACAAATGAAAGGCTCTTAAACTACATCTGGTAGGATAACTAAGATAAGTAAGTTTGACCGTGCACAATATGATTTGGAGGATGAGCGATTCATCCTGGATGATGTCCCTAAAATGGGTATTTAGCCAACTCCACAGACCCACACACCCCTCTCAGATAGGATCACAGGACTAGACCAGGTTTCCACTCTTGCAAAGGATATGTAAGGCTCTCTCTAGGGCTCAGCTCATTTGAGAAATCCAGGCCCAACTCTATAACTAGAAGGGGGAAAATAAATCCATTCCTTACCTGGGAAAATTGGGCAAAGCTGCGATCTGAAAACAAGGGCACATGTCCCAAGAGCTCATGACAGATGTCACTGAAAGACACAAAGTAGAGTTTGGAGGAGAGGAGGGTTAGGCCAGGCCAGAATTCATCTTTCTACATGAGGAATGGGCAGAAAGAAGGTAAGTAACTCCTTTAGGCTAATGCCTTCACTCTCACGAATAAGTGATATGCAGAGTGTGAGGTCAGTTGAGAAATGGAAGAAAGGCAAAGGAAAGTAAGGATCAGGCACAGGGCAGGGCACAGCAGCCAGGGGGCATAGGGATATGTCCACTAGGGTGTAGGGCAGGACCTAAGAGCCTCTCATACACCTAGGTGAGCTGTGGGTCATAAGCACTTTCCCATTCCAAGTCTTCTGTATGTTCAAATTTGGTCATTTTGGACGGAGAAAATCCTCAGAATAGACGGGATTCCTTCCCTGTTAGTATTGCCATCAAATAATTCAGACAACTAGTCCTGAGGATCAGCCTACAATGATCCTAAACCTTGTTTCTGGAGCAGAAAGGGTGACACCCACTGTGGCTAGCAACAGGCGCTGGAGGACAGTACTCACGGTTCAGGGGTGTACATGGGCTTGGATCCGTGTCTGATGTACTGTGTGCAGTGGAACACGCGGAAGGCCAGGCCATTCAAGAAATCTCGGGAAGACAGCAGGCCAGCCACTGGTCGGAGGCGGAAGCCAGTACAACCTGGGAAGCAAAGAACAAAGACTCAAACCCCTTTGAGGAGCAGCCAGAGGGTCCTAAAGACCTCCAGGTAAGAAAGCAGTACCTGCACCTGCCCTGGAACAGGTACTCTGATGCCAAGCTGGTTTGGCTTCACATCTCTACCCCACTGTTTTATGAATGGCTGATTTGGGTCAAGTAAACACATTTCTGAGCCTCAGTTTCCTCATCTGCAAAATGTAGATAGATAGTGCTTAAGGATATTTCAAACATCATGAGAGTGCTAAGTACAAAGTACTTAGCACAGAGCTTAGTTCACTGGAAATACTTAGCATATTTCACTTTTATTATTGCTTGTTAGAGTTGAACACTTACTTACTAATTCTTATTTTTCCAGTGTTGGAAGGGAACGTTTACTCTGTTGCCCAGAGGAAAGAGAATGGAAGGAATAGTTCCAGTTTCTCTGCTGTGCCTCACACAGTCCACCCCAGGAGGAGCTGGGACCTGACTTCAGTATTGGGGAAGAAGAAACGAGGGTTGTGACTTTAACCCTTCCCCTGGGGCTCCTTCTTCATTGACTGCCCATGGAGGAACACATTCTGGTCTACTCTTAGCTATGCACTGTGAATTGGCAGGCTAGTTTCCCTAACCAAGGACAAAATACTGGGAAGTCCAATACGGGATTGACTGGACATCTACACCTGCGTATCTTTTCTTTAAAACCAACATTGTGGTCACCATCTCTCCAGGTCCTCTGTCATTCAATTTGTTCCATACTTAGAAGGAGAACAGTAATCACATTGATAATGATAATAAGAATAGCTAACACTCTAAATGACCTGCCATATGCCTGACACTGTTCTGAGAACTTTACATGTGCTCACCGATATTTGCACTGACACTGAGATAGACGCCATTATTATCCCCCTTTATAGTGGAAGACGCTGAGACACAGAGATTGAAGCTCTTGTCACAAGCCACAAGCAGTCTGGCTTCAGAGGCTAGTCACTTAATTATAATTATATAATTCCCCAAATGCTAGTATTACTGTTTTATTATTCTTATCATTGGCTAAAGATAATAATCAGCTACAGAATGTCTTCAGGACCTCCTTTCCTCTTCCCTCGTGTTCACTGTATCTTCAGGCTAAAGCTTCTTCTTGCTCTTCTCTTTATCTAAGGAGACTCTCTCAATAGAAAAGATCCCCAAACTCCTATAGCCCAACCTGTCCCAGCTACAACATCCCTCCCTGCCATCTAGTTTCCTGGAGCCTCGCCCCAGAGTCTGCACAGTTCATATGAACAGAAAATTCTCAGTTGCTATAAACCTGCACTCTGTCTTCCTACCTTTTCCCTCAGTCTACCTGGCACATAGTAGGTATTCCGTACGTGCTGATTGTTTTATTTTGTTTTTTTCTGGATTAACACCCTCTTTGCAGAAGGGAGAGTACCTCTCTCTGAGCCACTCAGAGGCAATTCAGTCCAAATTCCCCAAGCAGCCAACACTAGGTGCTGCTTTCATGTGCGACATCTTATTTCACTCTGATGACATCCCTGTGAGAAAGGCTAAAGGGTTGACAGAGTCTCCATTGAACAGGTGGCCACACTGAGGCAGGTTTACCCAGCTAGAGAAGGTCAAGGGCAGGATTCATGTCCGAGGCATAGACCACCCCACATAGGGCATTTACACAAATACTGCAGCCATCTCCTGAGACCAAACCTGCAGGGAGAACCCTCACTGGGCACCTTGAGCTTTGTGTATAATAAAAAAATAAAAATTTAAAAACAACAACAACAACAACAACTTCAGGGACAGATGTAGGGCATTACTACCAACTCTCTGACCCACTCTGGCTTCCAGGTACCACCCCTTCCCGCTCCTCTCCCCCAGCCCTCCCGCTCCCTCAGGACCCTTGACCTTGGGGAGGACTCACTCTGCAGGAACTGAGAGACATCTTCCAGCTGGGGAATGTTGTCTTCACGGAAGCCACAGTACTTTTCCAGCAGAGGGAAAATGTGATTGTACTCATAGCAAGCGTGGGTTTTATACAAGGACTTCAGGGTCCTGAACACCGTCCCCCACGTGTTCTTCTCTTCCTCCGTGTATTCCACCCGAGGGATGGGCTGCCCACTAGAACACAGACAGGAAACAGGTGTCTCCAGGGGACCCGGCAGAGCAGACAGGGGAACGCAGGCCAAGTCACCAAGAGTCGAGCTCCAGGGTTTGTGGGCTGCCACCACTGCCTAACTTCAAAAGTTATGTGAGCAGGGCACCGTGGCACATGCCTGTAATCCCAGCAGCTCGGGAGGCTGAGTCAGGAGGATCGCGAGTTCAAAGCCAGCTTCAGCAAAAGTGAGGCACGAAGCAGCTCAATGAGACCTGTCTCTAAGTAAAATACAAAATAGGGCTGGAGACGTGGCTTAGTGGTTGAGTGCCCCTAAATTCAATTCCTGGTACCTATCCTCCCCCCAAAAAATTATGCAAAAAGGGAAAATTCCACGTACTGATATAGAAACATTATCGTGTTGGTTTTCCTGGCGCGTGAGTAATTTGATTAAACAACAATATATGCCCTCACTTCACTGCTGACACTGGGAATTTTGCTCTCACTGTGGGAAATCATTTGGTCCTGCTGCTGTTCTCTCTAATTGTTTACCTGTAGGGGCCAGTCAGGTAGCCAACAGGTATAAAGTGGCAGGTATAGGGTGATAAGGAGGAGGGTGCTGAGGCAATTCCAGAATGCTTCCTCTTTCTAAACAAAGATACCTGACTTCAGTTAAAGCAACACAGTGCCTTGTGTTACAGCAACTAACACAATTAACCCTGTGGGCTAAGCTGGATCTGATAGGTGGGTCCTGGGTCATGAGTTTCAAACAGCTTTCTTGAGTGGGTGTGTGCCTGGTGAATTTGGTATTTCTACTCCTGGGAAGTTACAAAGGTATTTACCTGCTAGGAGTCCACAATGTGTATATGTAAATACTATATATATAAACATATGTGTTTTGTCAATACAAATATATTTCATATAAATGCATACAAGTGTATTGTATGTGTTTTTTATTTATCAGTTTAAAAGAAAAAATTCTAAATCAAGGGTAAAAATTAAATAAAGAGTGAGACAGGTAAATAAATACATGCTAAGGTATAGCCAACACCGAGCTTGACAAAATACACACACTGGGCCCTGCCCCACGGGTTCTGAATGTACTGGGTGAGGACGACCCAGACTTTGGAATTCTGATCAGCTCCCCAGGTGACTGTTACGTACTTTGTCATTTATTTGAAAGGCCCTGAGCTGTGTTCTGAACAGTGAAAACAAATGAAAACAAAACAAAGTCTGGTCTCAAAGACCAGTGATGTGTCCTGGGCTGTGGGCCTGTTTCCCTCACAGGGGACACAGTCTAGGACAAAGTCAAACTGTTTACCTCGGAATTTCAGATCAGGCTCCAAATTTGATCCCTCCTGCCCTTTCAAAGTTGTAGCACATCCAAGGAAACTAAAGTCAAGTCACTGTTATTTTCTACAGAAATATGAGCAGGGATTAGGGGGAAAGACATGGTTTTGCTTATGAATTAAAAGCTAGACAAGCTTGGAGGATCTTGTGGGGACCATCAAGGACTGTGAAAGAACATTAGGTGAGCCCCTCGGAATGCACCATTATTTTAGAGCCAAGTGCTGGCACTTGGAGGCGGAGGGGGGAAAGGCTTTGGAAATGAACAGAAAATGGTTCAACACTCGTCTGCCCTTTCCTGGCTATGTGTCCTCAGGAAATTTAATAAACCTCTCTGAGCCTCAGTCTGTGCAGCTGTTACACAGGTTAATGGCAATAACTATTGGTAAGGTATGGATAAGATTAAGTGAAATACTAAGGGCAAAGTCCCTAACACTGGTATTGACAAAGAGCAACCAGTAGATTGTTGATCATGACCATTATAACTGATTCTCATTTAAAAAGAAAGGCATCTGATATTTCCTTTCTTTTTTTTTTTCTGTACCAGGGATTGAACCCAGGGATGCTTAACCACTGAGCCTGAGCCACATCCCCGGTCCTTTTTATTACTTTATATTTTGAGACAGCATCTTGCTGAGTTTCTTGGGGTCTTCCTAAGTCGTTGAGGCTGGCTTTGAACTTGTTATCCTTCTGCCTCAGCCTCTGAAGCTACTGAGATTATAGGTGTGTGCCACCATACCTTGCAACAAATTTCAAGAGTTAGTAGCATCCAAAGCACCAAGATGTCCCCCTGGTCAAGATTTGCTATTCTAGGGACCCAGAATCTGTTCCTTATTCTTTCAGTAAAGTACCCACCTTCCCTGTCAGTCTACAATGTCTGGGTACAAGGTTCCATTCCCCATCTCCAGAGGTGAGTGTTATAACCAGATGTGGCCAATGAGAGAGTCCTGTTCCCTGGTCACAGTGACTGGCTGAGGGATAGACAAGTCCTGGTCAGAGCTGATGAGACTCAACCACGGAACTTTGACTTTGTTGGAAAGAGATGGAACCTCTATTGGGTCAGCCTAGAGGTACTAGGGTCCATCTTCAGGAGAGGTGAGGTCAATGCCTGAAAACCATCTAGTGCAGAGGCCACTACAGCCAGAGAGAGAGAGAGAGAGAGAGAGAGAGAGAGAGGCCCTGAGTCCTGGGCCTGCCTGTACCCAGCTGTCAGACACCACAGAAGTATTGAGAATAACTTTAGAGGTAAAATTAAAAGCCTAAAAGATTTTATCACCTATTAGTTATATGACCTTGACAAGTTACTTCACCTTTTTAGGCCTTAGTTTTCTCATTTGAAAATTGAAAGTTATTACTAAGACTGAAAAAAAAAAAAAACATACGCAAAGTATTTAGCAAAACCCCAAGTACACTGTAAGGACATTTCAAATATGATCTGTCCCCACAGACTCTGAAGGAGGACTCTTGCCTGTGCCTGATATGGAAGGACAAAGGTGAGGACAGAGAGAAGTCACCTGTTCTGTGATTCCTGGCTCAGCAGAAGCCACGGCCCAAATGGGCTTAGATCTGACCAAGGGCTGCCAGGTTCTGGATCTTGCTACTCTCAGGAGTTATTCAGAGAAGGAACGTTCCCCCATTTTCTCTAAAGGTCTTTCCATTGTTTTCAGGTTAACTAGGAACTCAGTGACCTCAGTGTACCAAGTCCCAGCACCTCGGTTATCTCAGTGATAATCTCATCAGAGCTGCTGAAGTACTATCACCTTAGTACTCTGCCCACCTTTTGGGCCTCTTTCTGTGCATATCTTTGCTCATTTCCTTAACTCAGGGATGGCACTGTCCCTCCAAACATAAGTTTCCCATGGTAGGATTGATGGAGTTCATGAGGACTGAAAATAGCAGAACCATTCTCTTCCCAAACAACATTTTTGATATTTGCATTCTCTTTTGGCTAAGTTAGCATCGGGGAGGGGCATTCAATCCTGAATAGAGAAAAACATCCTAAAATTGCCCTTCACAGCTGGGTGAGACCAGACAAAAATGGAACTCTGCTGGCCCCAAACCTCTCATGATTCATTATTTCAGTAAAGCCGCCAATTCCTTCCTGAATACAAACGATCCTCTTTTTTTCCTTCAATGTGAAGAAGACCAGAGGCTGTTTCATTCAAGACTGAGACGTTTTGTAATGATTTCAGACACTGTGTCATTAGGCAACAAAGTTTGGGAGAGAACTGAGGCCTAGTGCAGTGGGTAATTTTGTTTTGTCTGGTAGCAATTTTTTTTTTAACATGTGCTATTAAAAGGAGGGCCTAAACATACACACACACACACACACACACACACACACACACATGCATACACCGTGGCACACTCCATGCTAGTATTTTCCAATCAAAAGCAAAAGAGATGTAGGCTAGGGGAAGGCATTTCTCTTATCTTTTCTGCAATAGGTGAGACTTACTGGCGGTAGTTGTAGGCAATGTCAGCAAACTGCTTTCTTCTTGCTCGGTACACAGGATCTTTAAAACCCTAAGAGAGAGGAGACACTTGATTACTCAGGCCTTTGTAGGAAAAATTTAGCTTCTCTATAAACACCTTGAATGGGGGCTTCCATGCTGGGCAGTGTGAGTCTCCTTCATCTGATTGCACCCTAAAAATACAGTCTCATTAAACTTAGGGTGAGCTCACGCCAAACACTCTGAATGACAAGTTATCAGCAATACCTTCAATTAGGCAAGACCCACCCTGCAGTGGGATTCCAAGGTCTACAGGCACACTCTGTTCTTAAAGAAATCTCATCCACAGCATTTTTCCCTTCTAAACCTGCTAAGTCAGGCAAAGATAGTAGGATAGACAGCCGGGTTGAAGATCACAAGGAGCCCTTCCTTCCTGGCCAATGGAGCATGTTCAGCACGGCCTCCTAACTGCTTGATAGATAAATAGGTACCTGCTTATAGCAATTTTTAAAGATAACCTTTATTGAGTTCCTACTAAGTGCCAGTCTCTGTGTGCCAAGGGGTTATTGTATCCACAACTCTGACAACGAACTTTCCAGGTAGACCAATGCAACCATCTCCTTCTTTCTAGAATAAACAGCAGCTCAGAGAAATGGAGTCATAACAAAGGCCAGGCCAGGACCTGGATCACTCAGTTCTGAGCCCTTTCCAGTGCACTTCAGTCACTTGTCAACCTTTACAACCTGTCAGGGGCCCAACCAACTGAGAAATCCATCTTGGGACATCAAAAGGATGATAATGGCTTCTCCTCTGAGGCTGACTGGCAGCCAGTCTTTTTAAACAATTTCCAAGCAGAACATTTCCAAGTGAATAGAGGACAAGTATGTCTTCGAGTGTTGGGGGGCGGGCAGTAGGGCACATCTTGAGTGGGCAATGATTGCAATTGATCAAAAGGGCATTTTCCAAAAAAGTTTACTATAATCTGAATTTTGGTGAGACACAGACTGGTACATCATCTCAGAACTCTGCTTGGTTCCCTCCAGTAAGCCTCACCGTCCACCACTTTACCTTGCAATTCTCTGTCCCAATGACCCTCCAAACCACAGCATTAATGAATTGAAAGTTAAGGCTTGTATCATGAAGCTCAGCATTTAAAGAAGGTTCTTTTTAAGATAAATAATTTCCTGATTTTCAAATGTTCTTTTGTTTGCTGGATTGGTTGGCTGGGTTCGTTCTTTCTTTCTTTTTTTCTTTCTTTTTTATATCATGGACACCAATAATTACGAAGAACCAGAAATCAATGAATGCAATAAAATTTCCTCAGAGAGTCTGGAACAGAGGATCTAGCATGCAAAAGGAACTACGGACATCTGCTGATGGACAGAAGTTGGGGTAGGAACCTACTTTGTTAACTAGGGTGAATTTTGAGAAATTGAAAAATCCAAATACTTCATAGAAAAGCAAAAAAAAAATGACTACACATTTTTAAATGACAAACCCAAGTCCCAGTTACTATAGTAAGTGACTACTGAGTTTAGAAAAGATGCCGTGGATCTAGAATGTCCCCCTAAAGTTCATGTGTTAAAGGCTGGGTTCCTGGCTGGTGGTGTTATGGGGAGACAGTAGAAACTACCTGGCAAGTCTACCTGGCAAGTTTCAAGAAGGTCAGGCCCAGCTAGAGGAAGTAGGACAGAAGTGTTCTTAAGAGGTATAGTTTGTCCCCGGCCTCTTCCCCTCTAGCCCCACCCCACCCACCTCCACTCCCACTCTGCTTCCTGACTGCCATGTAGTAAGTAAACAGCTTCCCTCCACCATGCCCTTCTTCCGTGATGTCCTGCCTCACTACAGGCCCAGGAACGATGGAGGTAAGATACCATGGACTGAAGCCTCTGAAACCATGAGCCAAAAGAAATCTCTCTTCCTGAAAGTTGATTTTCTCAAACATTTTATCACAGCAACGGAAAGCTGACTCTCACATGGCATGGTGATCATGATATGCAATCCTATTGTCTTCCCTGGAGAACTGACTGGTTTGGAATCATTAGTTTAGGGAAGCTTAGGAAACTGGGAGCTTGAGACTACCATTGGGTGTTCTACCATTGGGCAAAAATAAGTTGGTGTAGAATAATGTTGTAAGAAAATCTGGATTCCCGGGTTTTGGTTTTTTTTTTTTGGAGGCTATTGTGAATAGTTTTCCTAATGTCTCTTTCAGTGGATTCATCACTGATGTATAGGAATGCGTTTCATTTATGGGTGTTGATTTTATATCCTGCTACTTTGCTGAATTCATTTATTAGTTCTAGAAGTTTTCTGGTGGAATTTTTTGGATCTTCTAGATATAGAATCATGTCATCAACAAATAGTGATAGTTTGAGTTCTTCTTCTTTACCTATTTGTATACCTTTAATTTCTTTCTTTTGTCTATTTGCTCTGGCTAGAGTTTCAAGGATGATGTTGAATAGATGTGGTGAAAGAGGACATCCTTGTCTTGTTCCAGTTTTTTAGTGGGAATGCTCTCAATTTTCCTCCATTCAGAATGATGCTGGCCTTGGGTTTAGCATATACAGTTTTTACAATGTTGCAGTATGTTCCTACTATCCCTAGTTTTTCTAGTGTTTTGAACATGAAGGGGTGCTGTATTTTGTCAAATGCTTTTCTGCATCTGTTGAGATGATCATATGATTCTTGGTTTAAGTCTACTAATATGATGAATTATGTTTATTGATCTCCGTGATGTTGAACCAACCCTGCATCCCTGGGATGAACCCCACTTGATCGTGGCATTATCTTTTTAATATGTTTTTGTATGCGATTTGTAAGAATTTTATTATCTATGTTCATCAGGGATATTGGTCTGACGTGTTCTTTCTTTGATGTGTCTTTGTCTAGTTTTGGTATCAGAGTGATATTAGCTCGTAGAATGAGTTTGGAAAGGTTCTCTCCTTTTCTATTTCATGGAATACTTTAAGGAGTATTGGTGTTAATTTTTCTTTAAAAGTCTTGTAGAACTCAGCTGAGAATCCATCTGGTCCTGGGCTTTTCTTGGTTGGTAGGCTTTTGATGGTGTTTTCTATTTCATTTCATTGCTTTTTTTTTTTTTTCAAAAGTCAGTGCTTAAAAGTCAAAAAAGCATTTAGTTGTGTGGCAGGATTACCAGACCCCCAGTGCTGTGCCCTGGAAGCATAACTCCTACCCCAAGTAGTTTCTCTTCCTTTGATGCCTTCAGCTCTCTGTTTCATTACTTGAAATTGATCTGTTGAAATCATGTATGACCTCCTCATTCAGTTTGGGTAGGTCATGTGTCTCTAGAATTGCATCAATGTCTTCAGTAGTTTCTATTTTATTAGAGTATAAATTTTCAAAATAGTTTCTGATTATCTTCTATATTTCAGATGTGTCCGTTGTGACATTTCCTTCTTCATCTTGTATTTTAGTAATTTGAGTTTTCTCGCTTTTCCTCTTCATTAACATGGCTGGGGTTTATCTATCTTATTTATTTTTTCAAAGAACCAACTTTTTGTTTTGTCAATTTTTTCAGTTGTTTCTTTTGTTTTGATTTCATTAATTTCAGCTCTGATTTTAATTATTTTCTGTCTTCTACTGCTTTTGGTGTTGATTTTTTTTTCTAGGGCTTTGAGATGTAGTGTTAGGTCATTTATTTGTTGACTTTTTATTCTTTTAATGAATGTTTCAACCTAGGTGTCCCTCCATAGATGAATGGATAAAGAAAATGTGGTATATATATACTCAATGGAATATTACTCAGCTTTAAAGAAGAGTGAAATCATGGCATTTGCCAGTAAATGGTTGGAGGTGGAGAATATCATGCTAAGTGAAATAAGCCAATCCCACAAAACCAAAAGCCAAAGGTTTTCTGTAATATGCAGATGCTAGTTCACAATAAAGTGAGGACACTGGGGAAGAATAGCATTACCTTAGATTAGGTAGAGGGAAGTGATGGGAGGGGAGGGGAGGGGATAGGTAAGGTAGTAGAATGAAACTGACGTTATTACTATATGTATATATGTGACTGCATGACCAATATGATTCTGCAATATGTACACTCAGAAAAATGAAATTATATCCCATCTATGTATGATATATCAAAGTGCATAAATGCAGTCCACGGTCATGTATAACTAATTAAAACAAATAAAATTTTTTAAAAAACCAGAGAATTAAAAAAAAAAAAGAAAAGAAAACCTGGAATCGTGATTTGACTTCCAAGCAATATTAACATGTGTACAAGTAACCCACCTACTGGACTAAACAGAGAACACTTATCTGTCTACATGTGCATGCTTAGGACTCAAAATATACATTTAAATATAAACTTAATATTTGTCATTCTTACTGTCCATCTTAACAGTCAGTAGAAATGTCATTTCTAGTCCCTAGCTATAAAATGAACACCTTTGCTCCAGGCACCTTGGGGAATGTGTGTATATTTTGATCTAGAAATGAGGACAATTATTCCCACTGGGCCATTTGCTAAAGGGTCCTTAACTGCAGAACCAGCACCTTCATCAGGGTTTTCTGATCCTACCCAGGCTGGCAATTGAGATTTGAGAGCTGAATGAGAGGATCAGGGAAGCAAGAGAAGAATTCCTTTAATCAGTGGATCCCCGTCTCATGCTGCCTCCAGAATAGGATGCCCATGGCCATGTCTCTTCCCCATCTGGCTCCACGGTTGACCTATAATATGCTTTGTGGCCTAATGTTTTGCCTCCTGTGAAAACAAAAGCTTAATACAAGTTGTATGTCTAGCATCAACTGTGTCAGAGGGAAAATAAAATTATATAAATGAAATGGTGGAAGAAATACACCAAGCTCTAATAAGTGTTACTTGTAAGTAGTGGGGGCCATGTTTTATTCTTCTACACTATTTGTGCATTTGAAGCTTTCTACAGTGAGTATGAATTTCTTTCATAATTTGGAAAGAAAGCAAAATAATATTAAAATCCATCTTAAGTCATCTTGGGAAAGTGGCAGAAGAGTCACATAACTGAGCTGCGTGAACACACCTATATCATATGCCACACAGACTTTCTACGTGAGAGAGTTTCAACCAAG